CTCTGGCAGAATGAGCTCTTTCTTCCTTCAATGAAGGTACCTTTTACAGGGGGCCAGGGAGAAAAGAGGTGGAACCAGCGTAAACATCCTCCCTTTAGCCAGGCCATTATTTCTTTATCGTTTTGAGTCTATGGAAGTTAATGGCCCTGGATGCCTACCTAGCTAACTGGACATCGCACAAGCTTTCATTGCTAGGACTCTTAACTAACAAAAATAATAACACAGGAGAATACATAGCACCTATTTTATTGCTCCCTTCCCTAGAGAAGCAACTTCCAAACAGACTGAAGCCCACTAGAAAAGGCCAGCCTTTTGTGCAGTTTCTCAAAACATTCAATCTCCATGACTTGGTTTCCAGCCACATTATCGACTGCCCCCTGCCCCAGCAAGAAAACCAAATTAACTTGGGTGGAAATTTTAATGACTTAACGACTAGACCAAAACTCCCAGCTCTAACCAAATTAACCACTGATCACAAGATAGCATGTAAAAACCATCTACTCTGTATAATGCCAAGCATAACACAAAATATGACTTTAGAAATAATAGCTTTCAACTAAGACTATACATTTGCATTCAAAGACTCCCAGATAAGTTTTTTTTTCCAGATAAGTTTTATATTTTTGTAACTGAAGATAGGCATCTCCAATATCAATTTGTAGCCATCCTGTAAATTTCTGACTAAAATTTCCCAATACTCTTTTTATTTCAGGAACAGTCTATGTATCATAATTCAGATCTATGCAAAGAAATACCTTAAGCAGAGTTGAAGTCTCTCTGAATCTGCAAACTCATACTGTTTTGGAGGGCAAATAAATGCATCATTCATCAAAGTAAATCCCCCTTTCCTTATGCTTTAGCTAATTTATGGTAAAGGAAGTGTGACGATAGAAAATCTGTCACTGAGAGGGTAGCAATACAAACTACAAAGTATTAATCCCTCACAGATAATGTTAAATTGACACGAGATAATATTTTTCACATCAATATCCCCATGATTTGTACTTTCCACAGAATTTGCTCTATGGCCTCATTACTCTCACCTCAAGCAATGACACAACCAAAAGTTATTCTTGGGCAGTCCCTGGGGAATAAGAAACGTCCCTGGGGAAACACTCCCTAAATCTCCCCATTTGAACATCTATTTTCTTTTAATAAACTATATTTTAGGATAATTTCAATTTACAGAAAAGCTGCAAAGATTGTATAGAGAGTTCTTGTATACCCTAGACTCAGCTTCCCATTTATTAATATCTCAAGTTAGATCTTTTGTTATAACTGAAACCCTGGGATAAAGCCTCTAGCTTCACTTTCAGAGACAGGGAGCTGAGCGGTACACTCCCATTAGCTTTGCTGTAGGTAACACCTCTGAGGTAGGTAGGTACAGTCACTCAAGTTGCTTTTTAGGAATCTGGAGGGCACTTTTGTCTATCTCAAACTGACCCTTCCCTGGGACCTGTGCAAGTGTCCTATGGTTGACCTAAGTGACCTCAGAGACCCAAAACCCCACCCTCAGATGGCGCTAAAGCTGCCATTTTCTGAGCATGGGCCTGTGAAGAACCATGCAGGTGGACTACACACTTGCAGACAGACTGTTAACTTGGCCTCTCCCTGGCTGCGATTTCCTTTGCCCTTACTTCAGACCACCTTGTTCTGGACCCCTCAAATACCCCTAAACGCTATTTTCATGGAGGTGGATTTGAGACTCTGGGCTCCAGCTTCCTCGTGTTTAGTCCTCTCATGACTAAACTTTTGTAAAACTTGGCCCTTCAATGATTGGCATACTGCACAGTGGGAAAAAGTAGTAACATAATTAATGAACCAATTCTGATCCATTAGTACTAGTGAAAGTACTAATACTTCTCCAGATTTCCTTAGCTTTCACCTAATACCGCTTTTTTGTTCCACAGTCCCTCCCAGGATATTACATTTAATTATCATGTCTCTTCTCGACTGTCAATTTCCCAGACGCCTCTGGTTTTGATGACCTTTACAGGTTTAAAGAGTACTGGTGAGGTATCTCCCACACTGCCCAGCTGGGACTTACCTGATGTTTCCTTCATGGCTGGACTAAGGTGATGGGGTTTGAGGAGGACACCAGGAGGTTAAGTGGTGTTTTCATCCGTAAGGTGAAGGGTATGTTCTATCAACAAGACTTGGGACTACTGAGCTGACCCTGATCACCTGACTGAGGCAGCACTTTCCAGCTTTCTCTACTGTAAACTTCCCTCTCTCCTCCCTTTTCCATGCTGTACTATTTAGAGGAAAGTCACTATGCACAACCCACACTTAAGAAGTAGAAAGTTAGACTGAGTTTTTTGGGAACTATTCTGCACAGGAGATTTAAAAATTCTTTTCCATCTATTTATTTATTTATTTATTTATTCATTCATTCATGCATTTAATTAGCATGGAGATGTACTTCACGCTTTGGGTTAAAATCCAACGCCACTTCATTTGTTTTGCTGCTCAGATGATACTGGCTTAGCCACTGGGAGTGCTTCTGGGTGGCTGTGGTGACTTCCAACAGCCTCCATCACTGCAGGCTTCCTGAGAGCCTCTACTTTCTGCCAGGTGCTACCATGTGTTTCAGGCTGTGTCCTTTTATTGTCTGCCCTAGTCCTAGAAGCAGCCATCTCTCCATCCCTGGCGCTTTTCATTCATTAGAAACCAAATCTTCAGCACCAGATACCTATGTACTTAATTTAAATACCTACTACTAGACCTAGACATGAAGAACTTACAAAATGACACATTTGGTGGGCATTAAAGTTGGGGAAGGGAACATAACAAAAAACTTCCATTTTTATAGTTCAATAAAAAATCTGGGTAGCTTTTTATCTTGGATATTTATTATAATCCAGAAAGAAATGTTATGATTGCTTCAGGTGACAGAGGCAATGTGTTTGAAAGGGTAGAAAGGCTTCAAAATCTCCTTAATTTTATGTAGTTCTAAGGTTCCTATTTTTCAGCAAGAGTACTGTTGTTATCTTTCCAAGCAGTAAATGTATTCTCAGTGTCTCAACAGCAAAATAATGTCACTATCTAATAATCTGTATATATCATGCTGGAATGACTAAGCCAGAGTCCAGAGATCCAGCCTCAATAAGCCATACAGCGGCAACAGAGTAAAAGATGACTCCTGATAAGCAAGGCCACATCTAAATGCCCTCTCCCTTGTTTTCCCTCAGGGCCACAGGAAGTAGACAGGTGATAGGGCCCAGAAGCTCTGGATATCAGAGGGAATCAAACTCAGAGGAACCAGCTCTACTCAGCCGGGAACCTCCCTGGGAATTCTTCTCCTCAGTCCAGACCACGGGAGACCTCGCTGGGATGGCCACACCTCCTAAGCAGCTGCTCCACTCAGAACGTAGGGATCATGCTCCTCGAGTCTTCCCTCTGCCTCTGAGCTCTCAGCAAGCTGGGCTGGACACGGGCATGCAGCCTGTGGTTCCAGTTCCTGAGGAGACTGAGGCAGGAGGATCACTTGAGCCCAGGAGTTCAAGGCCAGCCAGGGCAACATAACAAGACCCTGTTTCAGGAAAACAATGTACATAAAAAAAAACCAAAAAACACCCCATGGTCCAACAATGAAAGAGGCAGCTGGGGGCCTGCAGGAGGGAAATGTCCTCATCACACCAGCCTGGTTCTATAAGGCGATGCCAGGAGTCCCGCGCACACCTGCATGAGGTGAGCAACATCTGTCTCGGTTGCCCACGATGCACCTGCATCTCCAAGATGCTCCCAGCCAAGCCCATCTATGCACATCGGCAGTGAAAGGCTCGAGGTCAGGCAGGCTTCTGCCCAGACTCTGTCACCTCAGGTAATATTTCACTCTGTTCATGGCTGGGAGACAGTTATCAGTCACTTGCTGGGATGGACGGATGGTCCAGTGGGACAAGAAAAACTCCAGAGCAACCACAGTTCAGGACTTAGGCTTCCTTCCCAGAGCTGGCCCCAGAGTCCTGGATGAAAAGACCACGGGCCCGGGCTTGAGTCCAAGTTTGCTCTCCCCTAGTTCCTTTAGCACAGGCAAGCTATTTCATACTTTGAAGTCTCCATGCCATCAGCCATAAACTGAATGGTTCTGATGGCTGGATGCTACAACTATGGCTCAATAATCTTCCTTATTCCTGGACACAAGTGGCCCTTGAATGATCCTAATCAACAAAATCAAAGAGAGCACACCCAGAGTTCAGACAGCTTGGAGGGCGTTTCTTAACTTCTGTGTCGTAGCTGCAGGTACTGAGAAGAAGGTACTGAGATGGCACCAGTAAAGGGTGGTGGCCGGGAGGGATGCGAGCTGTCAGTGTGAGGTGATCTACCCCAGCCTCACTGTCTACCTGGGCACAACAGACACTGTGTGGGAGTCTGTGCCCCTTCATTTCTTAACCCTTTCTGGGGTGCATACTCAGGGCAGAGTCACGGAGGGTGCCCACACTTGCTGGTAGGGAGCTGCTTCGTGGGCAGAAAGCTATGTTGGTGGCTGTTCCCTTGGCACCTGCGGCACCTCCCAAGGCAAGAGAAACACTAGGTGGAGAAATAAGGGCCACCGCTCCAGAGCTACTGCTGTGGAAGTCTCCTGGTAGAACAACAGCAGGAGTCTAAGCCGAGTTTCTGAAACAAGAGGCAAGGCGTGTTCTACACGGCACTCAGGGCAGCAAGGAGACCACAGATGTTCGAATGCAATTACTTGGTTTTTGACCCTTGAAGCCCCACTTTTTTCTCTTTAAGAGAAATGCAGAGAGAAGAAACCAAACGAGACTTCTGCCCTCCAAAAATAATCTATAGTTACGAGTTTTAACCCAAGAATCTCTATGTCAAATGATTTAAAAACCAGAGGAAGCCTTACCAAGAAAAAAAAAAGCCAACATGTTCAAGCTTATGAGAACAGCACTTCCTGCCAGAAGGGTTTCCTGTTTCAGGCAACCGCAGCGCTGTGGAGAAACATCCGCCCATGGCCGCAGCCTTCGTCCCTGCCACTTGTCTGTTCTACTCACCCTTCCTCCCCAACGAAGGTGACATACAGCTTATTCCTCTGCAGGTCTTTTCTGGAGTAGCCCATGATCTGATTAAAAGCATCTTCCAGCAAGTGATCTCTTCGGATAATTAATCTGTCCATAGAGAAATAATTTGAAAAACAGATTATTTCCTGATCCTTGTCTCTCTGGAACTTGGCACTTGCCATTTAATGTCTATTTACAACAGTTAACTAGGTGAGAAGTAAAGTTACTTAATTCCATGGCTGTCTGCAGTGAACCACACATTGGTCTTCAACTTTCAACAGCATTAGTAAAAGTTACGTAAGCATCACAGGTAAACAGAGCACCCCACCTGAGAAACACCGAGTCCTTTCCGAGTGGCCAGATCCATTATCCCAGAAGGCAAAATCATAACACACACACCCACACCCTACAACTTCTGCTTACTGCAGGGAGAACAGGCCTATGACATAATGCTTTAATCCTGAGTGCACCCAAACAATTACTGCACCCAGATTTCAATTACTAAGAACCTAGGAGACTGAGAACCAGCAGAGAGGAAGAGAAGAAAAACCTGTACTCTCCAAAGCAAAAAACAAGACAAAAAACCTGTACAGTTGTGCTTAACTTAATTTTAAATTAAGTGCATCTTGAGATTCTCTAAAGGACAGATAAGAATGAATGATGCTTCTGGCCAAATAGTCGACAAGTGACGATGACAACTGAAGTCACCCTTCTACGACACGAGGGCACCTCTCACAGGCAATGGACAGGAGGGGGGGCTGAAGCCAGGGTCACAGTGGCTTTCTGGGGGTGACTCTCCCACCCTGGGTCAGGTGGCACAATGAGCTCTGGTGGGGATGCAGCTGGCACAGGAGGAGAAGAAGTAGGGAATGCAAACAAATCTAGGCCAAACAACATGATCCCTTCTGAAAGGGAGGTGGATGAAGGGCAGAAACAATACTCACAACTCATTCTGTTGGGCAAGTGAAGTTGCTTTCACAGAGAAAAGAGAACTGATCACTATTCCTTTAGTGTTTTTTTCCCCTAGTACTGGGGACAGAACTCAGGACCTTGTGCTTTTGAGGCAAGCACAGCGCCACTGAGCTAAATCCCCAACCCAATCACTATTCCTTTATATCTAAGCAATGTTCCATAAACCAAGAGAGAGCTACTGTTCAGGGCAAGAAAATAGATCAGCTTTTGTTCTGCCTCTATTTTCACATGGAAAATGGTAGTCTCATCATTACTTGGTTTAAAACCTTGAGCCTAACTGAGATTAATTCCAGAACCATGTTCTGGTCACTTATAAATGCCTGGAGAATTACGCCCACTAAAATAAAGGCTCGTGGTCCCAGGTTCAGCATCACAAATCATGCGGTTTGTATCATGTTTGACTTACTTTAATTTCCCTGGGCCTTGTCCGTATCCTTTAGTCTCTAACTTCCTGTAGAAGTTCCTTAGTTTGGCTTCAAAGTCTCGCTTGTAAGGGGCCGGAGCCCGGGCGTTGGCTCGCTGAGTACCTGCAGCAGACAGCGACAGAGGGCAGCCTGGGTGAGTGCTTGGCTGCATGCTCATCCCACCGCTGTGAGAGTCCCCACGGTTAACAAGAAAACCAGACTCTCAATACTCAGCCTCCACATCGACCCCTCTGCAAGTGGCGGACACAGAAAAGCTTAGCCAGGCCCTCAGGAGAAGTCTTCTTCATTGCTTTTTGGCTGAAAATAAAGATCTTGTCTGAATGGTTATGAGGACACCAGTGAGTCTCTGGAATACGTCCCCTTTTCAGTGCTGACACAAATGAGTCGAGCAGAGTTTCTCGTGTCCAATGGTAGCTGTTAGCATTAACCGTCTCCACTTGTGCCGAAATGAAATCACGGCAGTTAGACAGAAGTTACAGTGTGAAGGTACAGGCAGAGGACAAGGACACTGAGTGTATATCGTTCTCCCCAAATCCCTCACCCAAAAAGCCCACACGAACTTCTTTCCCATACACACTGTACCGAGGAATGATTTCAGACACACAATTTTGTACACTTCCAATTTCAGTCAAATAATTGTAACAAGCAGAATTCAAACATAATTGCAGAAGGCACATGTCACCTGTTTACACAAAGAGTAACACTACCATCTATCACATTCTTAACGCACCAATTACAGTATCTATGGATTGTCTGATATGTCACTCTGTAGCCAAGTGTTATTAATAAAATGTAAAACTGACACAATTTCTTCCTCTTTCCACAGAAAAATCTGGCTTTGTGTGCAGCAAGTTGGGATATTAAACTGATGATGAATATGGAAATCGAACCCAGAAGCATAACAAAGACTGCTGGAGGCGTCCACTGAATATTTCCCAGCGGAAGGAAAACAACAACAAAACCCACACTGCGCTGTTGCTCACAACACACCATGCAAATTCATTAAAAAGTTATTCCACAAGGGAACTGGGTCATGCTTATTATGCAGGGCCACTACTGTGTCAGGTTCAACAACAGAGGGTCAAAGTGAATCAGGTGGAGCTGTCGTCAAGGAGAAGAATCCGAAACAAGATGATGTACAAACTCTAAAGCAGAGGAGATAAAGTACAGCTCTAGGCTATACCCGGTCCTAGAGATCTATTTTGTCTGCCCTACGTGTTTAAAAAAAAATTAAAGTCATTGTCAGCATTTAACAATTATAAATCGCTTCTCAGCCTTTTGGCTAAGATCAAGTGTAGCATTTAACAATTATACTGTATTTCAAGTTTATATATATATGTGTGTGTGTGTGTGTGTGTGTGTGTGTGTGCAAGTTACTTAAGACTCTCAAACTGGCTTGCATTCCCTGGGGAGACCAGCAGCTGGGCTGTCCACGCTGCGCCCAGGAATCTGCATTGAACACCAGTGATACAGAGGAGTCACTGTGATGCCAGAGGGGAGGAGTGAGACGAGGTGGGGAAGACCTAGGACAGAGGCGTCCAGGAGGCAGACTGTCCAAAGGGGACAGCATCTTGTCCTCCGGGCAGGTCTGCGGGCTGGGATGGGCACAGCCTGAGTATGCAGAGAGGCTGCTGAGACCCTGCTCAGCTGGGAGTCAACAGGAAGGGAAATGAAATCACCCAGAAGGGCTGGAGCCCAAGTGGGGAGGATGCAAAGGGCCTAGCTGATGTGCACACAAGGCGGGGTGGGGGCAGTTCCTGAGCATGGGAGTAGCACACGAGGGGCATTTATTGGAGAAATCATCTGCCGAATGTGCTGGAAGGACTGAGGGTGGAAAGAGGGAGGCAGAGCCAGGAGGGTGGAGGCACAGCTAGCAGCTGTTGCGGCAGAGGAGCCGGCCCAGCCAGTACTTTGGCGACTCAGAGGCCCAGGCACAGTGAGACACACTGAGGGGTGGCAGAGGCAAGCAGGGAGAAGAACAGGAGGCTCTGAGGATAGCGTGGTTTAGGAGCCACACCAGGTGCTGCCGTTTGCTACATGCTTGCTACACAGGAGGGATGCTGCAGCACACATCGGGGATCTGGAGAAATCCTCACAAGTCTAGAAGAGGCTGTCACCATCACCACCACCACCATCATCATCACCATCATCATCATCACCATCATCATCACCATCATCACCATCATCATCACCATCATCATCACCATCACCATCATCATCATCACCATCATCATCACCATCATCACCATCATCATCACCATCATCATCACCATCATCATCATCATTATCACCATCATCATCACCACCATCATCACCACCACCATCATCATCACCATCATCATCACCATCACCATCACCATCATCATCATCATCACCATCATCACCATCATCACCATCATCATCATCATCACCATCATTACCATCATCATCACTCTGTAACCAAGAAAAGGAGATGTTGTTTCCTGTCCAAATCACTTGGCAGTGACGGGTTCGGGAGCTGAGCGGGTCTGTCGGAGGCAAAGGCAGTGTGAAGTGGGGCTTCAGGCCTTCTAAGCTGGGGACAACAGCACATTCATGTTTGTGGCACAAAAAGCCCTGAAGAAGCGACAAATGTTACTGTTGCCTGCAGCACAGTAAATGCTGAACACGTGGGGAACTGCACTGGGGTTTTAGGAGTGGATTGTTACATAACTGGCTCCTGACCAATGACATGTCCAGAGGTCTGTCTGTAGAGTTATGATTTTTATGTGTGTGTGGGGGGGGGAGGTACAAGGGATCAAAACCAGGGCCTCTGTGCTGAGCTTCATGCAAGCTCCCTTTTTAAAAATTTTGAGACAGGATCTCACTAAGTGGCTAAGTTGCCCAGACTGAGCTGGAATGAGCTCCTCCTGCCTCAGCCTCCCTGAGTGCTGGGATTCCAGCCATGCTCCACCACGCCCAGCTAGCTATGAATCTTTTAACCAAAGGACTGAGTTATGGCATTGAGAAAATGAATAAACTCGACCTAACAGGTCTGAGAACAGAAGAGACTCCTAGCAGTGGTGCCCCACCTTGCCCACATACTGGAGTCACGCAGGACTCATCCACTGGAGTCTTGGGGTGGCGCCCGCAGAAGCGCTCTCTACAGCTTTCCAGGGGATCCCAGTGAGCACCCCTGGCTGAGGACGTTTTCTTCCCAGGAAGGAAGATCCAACGGGACCAATAAAACGTCCGGCAGATCCCGGGCTCACACAGGGGAGCGCTTCCTGCCTACGTGAAAGACAATGCCTGCATCACAAGGCGGGTGAACTCCAAGAGCCCCAGGCTGCTGTCCCCCTGGACAGGTCAGTGTGGCCACCTGAGTGGCGCAGTGGAGCTGTCCTGCTCCAGCCTGGGAAACCACAGATCTCTACCCAAATGGCCCAGAGCACAGCCAGCAGGAGTGAGCTTCCAAGGGCACAGTCACCGACAGAGAAGGGGAAGGGGGAGGACAATGAAAATCTCCTGAGACTCAACGGAAACAGGACTCTCACATCTGATAACCTTAGGGAGCGGCACACCACAGGGCAGCTGGAATGGAGATGTTGAAAAGGGTTCGGGAAAGGCCACAGCGCATCCCATCCTTGTGCACAAGAAAAGCAAGCCCAGCCTACATCCCCACTCCTGGTAAAGGGCGTTAGCTGCGGAGGCCCTGGCAACACAGGGTTGATGCACAAGGCCTTTGGTGATGATGCTGTTGTAACAAACCACTTATACGTGCTTTAGCATTAACCATCACTGCCCTGCCAGTTCTTTGTGTTCTATTTATTAGTCCGCATCTGCAGCACACTCTGCTTACTTTCCTTGTGTGGAGCTGTCACGCGTGCATAGCACACCTCCATTCCTTTTTCATTCCCTGTCCCTCCCGTTCTACCTCCATCTCCTGATCCCCTCCCACTGAGAAGAGCTGTCTCCCTACTTCCTATTATCTATTTTATTTTGCTCTTTGTTTTTACTGTGGGTTTCTCATATTAGAGAGACCATGCAACATTTAAGCTCGTGCGTCTGATTTTTTTTTCACTTAACATTATGATCTCAAGGTACATCTGTTTTCCTACAAATGACTCAAGTTCATTATGGCAGAGTTCTGCTCCATTGTGTGCAAATACCACATTTTCTTTACTCATTTATCTGGACATACAGGCTGCTTCTTCCCTTGCTTAGTTCTTAAGAATTGTGCTGCTATACACATGGAAGAACAAGAGGGACAGAAAAGACAGAATGGGGTGAGGAGGTCGGACGTGCAGCCGACAAGATGCTAAGACTTTGGGTGGAGAGGGAGGCACAAAGCAGATGCACTGCAGGAGTTCCACTCCGTGCTGCAGGCAATGCTTCTGTCAGGAGCACCTTCCCAAAGGATCCTCGCGACTTCCACTCCCCTGGAGCCTTCTCTCTTCTCTAGGGTGTGACCCAGTGCTGGTCTTAGCTTCCAGCTGGCCCAGCTCTACTCAAGTCCTGCAGCTCTGCACCTAATTCATTGGCACATTGATTTCCCCCAAACCACAAAACATCTTCACTGCTATGTACACGAAAGCAAGGAGAAACATGATGCCTTTACAGAGTTTCAGCAAATAGCAAGTTAAACAAATTCTTACAAAGTTAAAGTCACAGCTTTGGTTACTTGGAAAATTCACATTGGACCGCACATCTCCAAAGCTATTAGACAAATTAGGTGTTGCTGAATTTAAATTCCTAGAAATGTGCAGCTTCAAAAAACATGTAGGTCCTCTCTTTGGCACAATGAACCCTATGGCATAACTGAGGTTGGGACTGGCATGAGAATGGCGCTAGAAAAATAAGCCTTCACATTCCAGAATTTTGACAGATTTTAGGTGAGCGCTTTAGCAGCTGCAGAAAGCAGTGAGTTAGCTTCCAAAGCCCCTCTCTTCTGTACTTGGAAAGACATGGAAATGTGCTTGGAACAGCAAGAAGCCTGGAAAGAGTACCAGGTCCCTAGGCATTCTGAATGGCGACCTTCACATGTACGGCTCTCATAATCTCTACAGTACTATTCTCACACCACTAAAAAGGGTGAAATCGTAGTCCCAAGAAAAAGGATCAGATCACTTTGTAAAAAATCTGTCTGAAACATGGCTTTTACCAGTAGTGTAGCTGCGAGTGTGCTTCATCTCTTCCCCACCAGGGCCCAAAGTCCTGGTGTACCGCTTCCTGGCTATTCCCTGAATTCATTCCATCTCCTCCAGCCTTTTATCAAAGTGTCACGGGGCTAAGGCATCAGCCTCCCGAACACCCCAGCCTGGCCTGAGGAAGAGTGTTCCCACAGCTCCTTACACCGAGGGATGGACACAGAGCTCCGAGAGTCAGCGCTGACTCACCGTCCTGCCGTGAGCTTCAAAGGCAGAGGCTGTGTCATCCAACTCGACCACCAGGTCAAGCCTAGTGCTTAGGTCGTGGTTGGATGCCCAATAAATGTGTGCTCTGTGAATGAGCAAATAGACCTTTTCCTGTTTGGGTGTTCAATTCGGACACTGTTTTTTTATAGCAGCATGTGAAGACACATGTCGCATATCAAAGAACCCAGAGCAGCCTCCAGGGACCCATCTGAGGTTGGATTTCTACTGAAACAGTCTTCAATTCTGGTAGCTGTTAAACTGTGAACAGTATGTTGCCTTTAGTAAGAGCAGACATAGTTGGTGTTCTGTCAGCATCAGCTCCACTTTCTTTAAAACACTCATCTGCTAAGCTTTGTTTTCTACCATTTCTTCACTTACCATTCACTCACTCGCCCCTTTAGTCCTTGATTCACATTTACCTCTTTCAAAAAGAGTCAAACTTAAAGATTTTAGTTTATCTCTCTGGTGTTCTATCTGCTCATTCATCTGCTTTTATTTTTCCAACTAATGCAGTTAGTTCATCCCGCAGGGACATATATCCAAGTCCATTACATCGGATGGCTTACCCTATGTTTTAGGTAAATTGTTTTATTTCTTGAGAGTGATACTTTATTTTTATTGTCTATCCAACCTGCCTGCCCACTAGAACTTTTTAAATTCAAAAAAACTAACATGGTATTTTGTACCTTAACATTCTCCAAGATATATTTGGTCTTACCTAACAGCATGAAAAGTAAATTCTGTATTTGAGCGCATCCCACTATTAACTTTTACTGTCCATTCATCACCTGTCGAAACAAGCCCCATGGGAACAAGCCACTTTTAAGGGATGGCAGCCACCACGTGAGAAGCACCTGTAGTCCTGAACCTGCACCCCATGTTTCCTCCTGGTTCTTGTGAAGGACAGGGTGACTGTCCTGTGGCTCACTCTGCAGGGCGCTCACCGGGCAGCAGAGGACTCACCTGGTGAGTTCTGGGGTGAGGACACAGGAGAGCCGCGTGGGGACTGACAGTAGCTGGGGTGCAGTAAGGCGTGTGGAGGCACATATGACATTATCTCCTCTTCAAACAAGCTGGGGAGACAGGAAGCAAAACACATGCTGCAGTCAATGAGGTGTTTCTGGGACGAGCAGGCAGGTCCACTCCTCACACGACATGTTCCTTTTGTTCTCCTCTACCAGGATCTAAGGATCCTTCCTTCCATAAGTTTATATTTTGTAGCATACACTCGTATATATATAATATCCATGTATACATGTGTGTATGTATAGAGATAAATAATATGCAGCTTTCCTTATGCATGTTAAAAATTACATAAAGCTCTGTAATTACATGGCATTCTTGAGATCTTTTCTCATTCAAAAATACTGTTCTAGTTCTGATAGCTAAGTGGATAACTAGGATCTACAGTGTTTGTTCTTTTGCCTGCTAGAGAGCAGAGTAATTTAGGAGTAAATCAGTTTACTTATCCATATGCGTTTTGACAACTATGCTCATTTATCAACAATGGTACCAGGAACACCCTCTCGATGTTACTTTGTAAATGTGTAAAAAAGTTTCTTGGTGTGAACACGGTGTACACCTCCAAGAAAAAGAAGAGCTGCCTGGTCAAAATGCTTCTGTCTTTTGGGCTAGGCAAAGATTATCAATTAGTACTCCAAGGAGGTTATGGACACTGTAAGCCCACTGAGCCCACACGTAGGATACTCATGTTCCTCTTTTAGTATTATCAGGGTTCTGTATTTTTTTCAAATCTTATAGTGTGAAGCATGATTTGAAATTGCATCTTATGACTATGAGCATCTTTCCATGAGTTTATTGGCCATGTATGCATCGATTTCCTTGATCTTTTCATACCCTTAATTGTTTTTCTTTGGGGTTTTCTTTTAAAATAACTTAAGGGCATTCTTCATCTGTTCGTTGTGAATAATTTTTCCAGTTTATCACCTGTCACCCTTGTATGTGGTATCTTGCATCATATAAACTTATTTTTTATGTGGCCAAATTTACCAATGAGAAGTGAGATCTGAGAGAAGTACTTACTTTACACGACTGGAGTTATTAAGTTATTTATATGGAATAATCAATAAAAACACAAGATCATTTAAAATTCTTGTGTTTGTAATAGTCACATTGGAAAATAACTTTATAAGGGCTTATTTTGAATTAAATAATGTCCTAGAGGTATATGTGGTTTGCTGACAATAAAGCACATTTGCACCAGGAGTGATTTTTCTTTCTGACAAACAGACAAACTACAGAAACAGATACAACTCTTTACTCTGTATACCACAAGAACACTAAGTTTATAGTCACTGACTGAGATGGTATAAATTTCAAAATGCTACAAAAATAAAAAACTGAAGATATGAATAAAACACCCACAGTTTCAATAATCATTAAATATTACTTTTAAACAGGCACATATAACACACTATATCACTGTGTGCAATTATTAAAATAATAAGTATAGCTGGTCATTCAAGTGAAAGAAGGGTCTAGAACTGCAAACATCATCTGTCTGTGGCAGTCGCACGAGTGGATTTCTCGCACGTCTCACATGACCCATGAAGCCTCAGGGATGCTTATTCCCCAAACAGGGGACAATGTGGCCTTGCTCTTCCTAGAAGAGAGTCAGATATTTTTTAATTCAACCACACAACACAGAAATTCAAGTAAAATGTGGGGTTTATGAAAGCTCAAATATTCTAAGGTCTATTGTAATAAAATATTTAAGAAAATACACCTAAAGATGACTCAGTAAGGAGAGGTGAAGGATAATCATGAGTATTTCTTTTTTACTAATTCCAAAAGCAGGACTCATCACTTGAATGAAACAGATTTAGATTTCTAGAATAAGCAAGAGTCAGATCCTACCCAGAAGTTTGTAACAAAATTTTATTATTTTATCACCAGCCGGACTTGGGTAGGCACACCCTCTGGTACCAGTGGGCCACCTGGTGCTGTGTGCCACTCTCAGAACTGGCTCTGCAGCCCGTAGGAGGGGCCAGCCCAAGATGGAGACGGGACCGCCACTCACAAGTGCTGCTCAGAATCACAGGACAGAGCTGCCTATGGAGAGGAACTGCATCCTTTCCAATTATGCTTCAACTACACACACAAGGGAAACAACTCTTTGGTAACCATCAAGTGGCAGTCAGAAGACAGCAACTAATATGGTAACCATGGAGGGAGAGCCAGAAAGGGCCAAGTTGAGAACTTCATGAGAACCCTGAGCGAGGCTGTCAGCACTCGGGGTAAACAGAGCCTCACTGGCTCGGGGTGACGTCCCCGTAATTCCACGGCAACCTCAGTGGTTTGTGTCCCTGCCACTGGGCAGAGCACAGCATTCTTTTACTCTGGCTTCCTACATTTGAGGGATAATATTAAAAATAAGAAAATCTTTTGAAAACCTGACAGTTTCCCTTCTACACCACTCTAAAACTTAAAACCGAAGCCAATCTAGCTATCGTGAAAGAAAATACAATTGGTCGGTTTTATGAAGGGCTATCAAGTCAGCAGTGAGCACAGGGACCAAATTTCAACTTTCTGATCTGCTTTCCCAAGCCTAAACTCTCAAAACCACAAAGTAAATAAATAATACCTTGAATCAGCAAAAAGAAACAAACCACATTATGAGAAAAGAATTGAGAACAAATATAAATATGACCTCTTTGCCACACCAAGGGGCTAAGCTGTGAGTGCCTTGCTTGGTTACCATCCGCTCCGTTCTGAATGGGACATCCGGTCAGTGTCTGAAGCTGTCCTGCCTCGCCACGTCCTTCGCGGCAGGGGGAACAGATGCAAAATGAAAGGAGGCTCACTAAAGCAGCACCCTAAGTCTTCAACATGAGTATTTCCTTAAGTCTCTAGAGACGAGGGAGACGTTTTGAGGTTACCAACACGGAATGCTGTTTTCCAAAATGCTCCATCGTAGCTGAGGACCCGGAACTGTCACCCCAGGCCCTAGTGTCACCTACCTCAGCAGCATCACGAGGTCTGCATCACTCGAGAGGCGCACCAATCCTGGCGTCCCTTCCGTTCTGATAAATTGGATCTTCTCCCTATGCAGACAAAGAAACAGCTCCCATTGTACGTGATGGGCTTTTGGAAGGTAATTCGGTGGTCACACACATGGTTCATGACAGCCCCTGCAGTTCCTGGGGCCTATGATGTGGCAGCCACTCTGTGACACCCCAGGAATACACATCCCAAGACTCACAGTCCCTGCCTGCAAGGGAGGACTGGTGAGCGTCCATACCCCCACTTCCAGCACCGCAGGGCAGAAGATCATTTGATCATCTGGACATTTTGCTGCCTAAGTATTACAAGCAGCAGCAGTACCGTCTAACTAGTAAATGCATTTGGAGTTAAGGCCGGCTGTGAGCCAGAACCCAAGCAACAGCTTTAGGGTGCTCCCCTCTTCCTCTGAGAAGCACGGTTCAGCCAGGGATGTAGCTCAGCGGTGCAGCTCCTGCCTGGCAAGCATGAGGCCCGGAGTTGGATTCCCAGAAGCAAAAATAAATAAAAATTAAAAGCAGGGTTTGTCCCTTGCCATCCAAAACAGGCATGAAGAGAGATGTGGTGTTTTCCTAAGGATTTACCTTTAAGTCATGCGCGATGAGCTGGTTCCTACTTGGAAGCAGAGAGTACCTATGCCTTATGACTTCAATATAAAAGCACACGGCTTTTTAAATAAATGAGAAACTGAAGCACCCTTAGTTACACAGTTGGTGAAACAGATCATGTGCACACCTGTGGGTGTGTGTATATACCTATACACACATATACATACCGATCCCATACACATATCAAACATGGTGCTGTTATGGCTACTATTATTTTATTACAGATATAACGATAACACCAGTTTTTTCTTTTTCTTTAGAGTCATCCTCCTGTTATTTTCAACTTGTCATACAGATACACTTTTAATAAAAATTTTCCCAGTCGTTTTCTCTCATTTACCATTTCTCTCATTTATACCATATCAAAGTACACCGTACTTCTTTTTATAAGATAGGAAAAAATAACAACACTAACTATGGGATGGAAGCCATTACATTTGATTGGATCCTGGATGTCAACAAGATAGACAATTTTACTCTGAGTGCCAAGGTCAATATATTCTAATCACTGTGCTGCTACATGAAAATCAGGCTTGGTGCCTTTATTTAGATTTAGTTCTTCTCTATAGATCATCTTGATTTTCTACTTGATTTTCATAAAGTTCCACTGCGTTTTAGATTTCCTGATTCCAAGTTAGGAAATTGCTTAACGACTTGAAGGCAGTGAGGTGGAAGGCAAGGTTTACTCGTTCAGATGACAAATTCCCTAATACACAGAAAGTGATTCACTCTTAACCATGCCACTTATGAGGCAAGACACACATTAGGTCCTCACTTTCTCCTGGCTAGATCCACTTGACACAATAGATTAGTATGTGAAGCATCGAATCTTCGCACTGGCCCACTTTCTTTTCTATCCTTTACTGCCAGAGCTAATTAATATTCTTTAAAAAGACGATGAAGCAGTGAGTGGTGGACGTGGGTGTGCAGGAACTGACAGGGCCTTGCTGGAATCTTCTCACAGGGTCCAGGCCAGAACCGAGACACTTTCCTCCAGTGAAGGATCGTGTGTCTGATGGCCCGTTATCTGCTCAATGTTTTTTTTAAAGTGAGAAATATAAATACTGGCTTTAAAAAGCTAAATTAGAAAAAAATATTACCTCAGAGAAAAATGGACAGTTACTTAACCAAAGTACTTGTCTAAGGTTTAGTAACAAGGTGTGTTATCTTGGAGAATCAAAAGCTATCTCCAACAAAGTTTATCTCCTCAGTTTATCCTCACAATGAAATCTGGCAAACAGAACAAAATAAAAAACGAACAGTCTCAGCTCTCTCCTAACTGCCTTAACTGGATAGAGATCTATGAATGCGTCAAAAATGCATGTTCCAGACTGTGGCCTCTAGGTTTCCTGTGAATAAGAAAAATGTCACAGCCCAACTGAGTCACAAGGATGATGGCGCCAGCACAGGAAAGGGGAGGCCTGGAGGAAATGCGCCAGCTGGGAAACTTCCGTTACTCTAGCGACTCACAGCTAGGCAGTGAAGGCAGAAGGCCTGATTCTCCAGGCGAAAACATGCCAAAGGCACGCTGAGGCGAGTCTTCTGCCACACCAGCTAACTTGTCACAGCAACAAGCTACAGGTGGACTCGGGGACATGTCATCTGGTGTATGTCACACCACTGAGTACTTTCTTACAATAATATTCACTCGTTTTTGAACAAACATTTTCTGAGCACCTCCTGTGGGTGAGGCATGGTCCCACACACTGGGAACTAACTCAATAGGGGCTGAGACAAAATCACGAATCAAGGAGCTTGCAGCACAGTAGAAGAGAGAAAGTCAAAGGCATTTCCAGTATTCTGTGAGACTGCAAACTGTCCTGCCCACTGAACCTAACTCTGTTCAGGCCTCATCCCGGCACCCAGTCTAGATGGTCTTTTGTGAAGTCCTTTGGTGTAGAAACAAGGGCTTCCCTTTACTGATGGTCCAGAGCACATCAAGGCAGAGGAAGAGAGAAGTAGGCTGAAGTCTCCAAAATCCTCAGAAATGTCACATCTTTTCTGAGAATGAAAAAGGAACTGCTCCCTGGTTATCAGATATTTGCCCAATATTCTACAGACTAGTGTTGCTCAAACTGGTGTCCCTGTCTATGAGAAATCTGCAGGCAAGATCTTGAATTCTGCAAGAATTTTTAACTTTTATGTTTTCATGCTGTGATCAAAGTGGCTAAAGTGACAGAAGTGTGATTTGTGTGTCACGGATGTCACCCGACTGAACCCCGCCATGTGACTGGGGTTCGCGCCGGCATTTACAGGGCTGTGGTCAAGCAGGCAGGGAAGGACTTGGGAGGGGTGGCGAGCAGAGCAGGGCTGGCTGTGCTCGGGCTGGCTGTGCTCGGGCTGGCAGGGCCTGGAGGGTGAAGACCACAGCAATGGTCCCTGTGTGGGGCACATCCACAGTCCTCCCATAGATGAGAAAGAAGTTTTCCTGGTGCAATGTCAGTTTGCATCATGAAAATGACCAAGGGGAGCCAAGTAATGTAAGCTGCCACCAGCTAAAGAGAAAACAGAAGAGACAGACTTTAAAAGTCAAGTATGGACTTATGCTAAATATGCATAAAAGATGTCCAGGCTTATTCCAGGCACAAAAGCGCTGCAGCAGTTTGCAAATGGGAAGGTGGTGGCAGAACCCGCCCACCCGGCACACCTGATGATACCACAGTTCTTCAGTGCTATGCTTGGGGAACACTATACACGAACGGCTTAATAAAACAAGGAATTGGTACATACAGCTGTGGTTCTAGTCCAGAAGGGAAAGTGGCGACTGTGATCGGTGATCACGCCCTGGATACATGTGATATACTACGAGAGGTGAAATAAATGAACCAAATCAAACAGGAGTGAAACAAGCCAAATGGGCCTTTCCACTGACAATGGTCTCCACACTGGTAGTTTGGCTTCTGAAAAACAAACCGTCTTCACATTAAGTATTAACTCAAGTTTTACTAATTTTCTTAGTTTTTACTTAATTCGTGTATCTTTTGGCTTACAGTTTACAAAAGCTGTAATTGTAAGAAATCTGTATACACACAAAAGTCGTTAAAGTTCCTGTGTTGGATATGCAGGATTTCTTCTGCTTTTAGAATGGAAAAGAACAGCTTCAACCCTCACAAATTTCCATGAGTTCACTCGGTCAGGACCTATCATGAGTCTGAGAAATGCTATTAAAGGCAGACATACCTGCCTGGGGATGTCTGGTTATTCCTTGAATAGGTCTATCAAGTTCACTGGTTAAAGGTGTCGCGTTAGAAGGACTCTGTGGCGAGAGGAAAGTCTGTTCGGTCCTGAGGGCCGCAGTGAGGACCCTAAGTTCTGCTGCAGCGCGGGTTTCTGGAGGAAAAGCCCTTCCTCCTCCATCTTGGTCTCCCAGCCCTGCACTGAGAACACGGGGAGCGCTTGGCAAAAGACAAAGCAAGCACTTGCCCCGCGAATGCCCAAATAACCGCTCTGCACGCCCACATTCCGCTCCACATTTGGAATAAACAATCTTGCTATCATATTATGCTGTGGCAGAGGAAAAGAAGAGAACCAGAAAGTTGACATCTAAGAGTTACCAAACCAGAATCCACAGTGGGAAGCGCAAAGACAGGTACAGTGGCAATCTCTATCTTTTCTCAGAGGCAGTGCTTCAGCAAGAAGAGCCACGACTGTTAAACACAATGCTGAACTGCAGGGCGTGGCACGGCGTTAGGAAATAGTTGCCAGCTAGCACCTCGCTCAGATTCACAAAGTTGAGGCTGGGTAACCACTTCCTCCCACACACGGAGCCACCGAGGAAGGCCAAGGCGAGCGGGTCATCCCAGGACAAGGGGCACAGTCAAGTCACGGGGCTGCAATCCCACAGGAAATATTCTCACTGAAACCAGCCAACACGGCCTGAATCTAAAGAGGATGTGCTCTAAACTCCATACACTCGAGCCCCTGCAGGTTACATACACAGGTTACCTACACATGTTCTTACAGCAGCTTGAGGGTAGTTTCGAGAAGTACCCCTGACTTCCCCGGTGATGTAATGTGCAGAGAGAAGCAGCCCTGATCGTCCCTACTCCTCATTACAGCAGCGGACCCTGTCTGACTGCAACAGCCGGGCGGTGGAAAAGCTCACTTTCTCTCCCTCCCATCATACAGGTTAGATCTGGACACTTGGGTTCAAATGGTCATGTATTCCTAGGATTCAGAGAAGTGACATGGATTAGGAGTAAAATTTGCTGTGAGTATAAATAATCTCTAGGCTAAGAACAAAGAATTACTTAATTCTCTTTGCTGGTTTCCTCACCTTAAGCACAATTATAGAGCACAAATAAAATACTTAGCCCAGGGCCTAACGTAAGGCCTCAAAATTTCAAACTATTGAGTATTTATTAGATAGGCCTCTCAATGACTTATTCTTTTTACAACAGACTGTATGATCTATCAAAAAGAGTCAAACTAGATTT